TCTTCAGCTCAAGGCGCGCGCTCTACCACTTGAGCTACAGCGCCACTTCCGGTTTTCTGGTGGTTTATTGGAGATAGGAGTCTCACGGTCTTTCCTGCCCGGGCTGGCTTTGAACCGCGATCCTCAGATCTCAGCCTCCTGAGTAGCTAGGGTTACAGGTGTGAGCCACCAGCGCCCGGCTATTTCCTCTTTTTATTTTCCTTTTTATTATACAAATCATGTTTTTTAAAAAATAGAATAAATGTTTTCTAAGCTCATCCCTCCCTCAAATCAACACCTGCAATTCTTTAAAAAAGTTATTTTAACCTCCCAATGAAATATTCAGAATAGCTTCTGTTTAATGAAGAGTTCTGTATTAATGGTTAATTAGTTGTTGACTTTCAGGATCATGGGCTACTTGGCAATGCACACACATGACTAGTTTGTGCAATGAAGGGGGTGCAACACAGATTTCCTGAATTCAGCACTGATGTGGGGCAGCTCACCGCCAGCATTTGGACACAGTTCTGGTAAGTTGTCTCTCACAAAATATAACCAGCTATACATAAGGGGACTGATAATACAAAAGAATCAAGGGCAAATACAGTCCTAAGTACGAATAATTTTTATGATCAACACCAGTATCCTAAATTTTTGTTCCAATTTTTAGTATATGTGCTGCTGAAGCAAGCACCAGTAGCCTAAATTTTACTATGCTTACTAAACCTAAGCGATTTACTTGGCTGTGTTTAAGAATTTTCAGTTTAGGTGTACAGAAGATCCATTAGACATTCTATTTATCTTCAGAATTTTAACATTTATAGGTATCATTTTAGATTCATTTAGTGAATCCTTGTATTGTCATGATGGAATGAGTACCCTTATCTGTTTGGTTTTGTTGGCAGATTTAAAAGATTAAACTAAATGTTATACAAAAATTTGTTAAAACATTTGGTTTAAAACTGCTGTCCTCTCAGTGTGAAACAACATAGGGCATTTTTGGAAACTACTTCTAAGAAAGTTCTCACTTTGAGCAATAAGAACTATTTAGAATATGAACATTATTACTATTATTATTTTTGTCAGTCATGGGGCTTGAACTCCGGGCTTGGGCGCTGTCCCTCAGCTCTTCAGCTCAAGGTGAGCGCTCTACTGCTTGAGCCACAGCGGCACTTTTGGTCTTCTAGTGGTTTATTGGTGACAAGAGTCTCACGAACTTTCCTGCCCGGGCTGGCTTTGAACCGTGATCCTCAGATCTCAGCCTCTCAGGATTAGAGGTGTGAGCTACTGGTGCCCGGCGAAAATTATTTTTAATTAATTTACTTTATTATAAAGGTGATGCACAGAGGTATTACAATTACATGAGTCAGGTAATGAGTACATTTCCTTTTGTACAGTGTCTTCCCTTCCCTCACTCTCTCCTAGTCCCTCCCTCCGGTCTCCACCCATGAGTTGCATAGTTCACTTGCTTCTGTGTCCAGTGAGTTCCACTGTTCCCTTCTCCCCTTGAGTTTTCTTTCTTTCTTTCCTTTCTCTCTTTTTCTTTCTTTTTCTTTGGTCCAGTTGTGGGGCCTGAACTCTGGGCCTTAGCGCTGTCCCTCAGCTCTTCAGCTCAAGGCTAGCAGCTCTCTACCACTTGAGCCACAGTGCCACTTGCGGCTTTTTTCTTTTTGCTTATGTGGTGCTGAGGGCCTCATACATGCAAGGCAAGTGCTCTACCACTGAGCCACCTTCCCAGCCCCTCCCCTTGAGTTCCGTACCTCTCCCATCCTCCTGTACACACTTGAATACACCATAAGAAGACAGAATCATCCTTTTAAGGAGTTTTCATATCTTGGAGTTTGTGTTGATATATATATATATATATATAATTTAAATATGAAGAGGCACATACACACTGCACCATTGTGTCTCTCCTAAGAGTATGCTCTTTTTATTTCACTGTATATATCTAGAATCCTGTATAATTTATAATATACCAGTGTCTTTTAGATCTAATTTCCATGTATCAGAGAGAACATGCCATTTGTCTTTCTGAGCTTGGTGTAGGACACTTATGATTTGTTTTAGTTTCATCCATCTCCCTGCAAATGACACTATTTTATTCTTTTTAATGGCTCTGTATAGTTATGACTTTTTGGATCCACTCATCTATTGTGGGGCATTTGGGTTGTTTCTGTATCTTGGCTATTGGGAATAGTGCGGCAATGAACATGGATTTGCATGTGACTTTATCATAACCTCATAATATACAGGGTAGATGCTCAGCAACAGTATGGCTGGGTCATAGGGAAGGCCTATGCTTAGTTTTCTGAGGAACCTCCAGACTGCTGTCCAGGGTAGTTGTACTACTTTCCCACCAACAGTGCAGTGGGGTTCCTTTCCCCCCATGTCCCCACCGACATTTGTTGTTCGAGTTCACAATGTTGACCAATCGAAATGGGGTGAGATGGAATCTCAGGGTTATTTTGATTTGCATTTCTTCTTAAGAGACCTCTCTCCTTAGCTTTTGCCCATTTAGTAATTGGTTAGCTTTGAGAAGGGTTTCTTGAGCTTCTTGTATATACTGGATAATAGGCCTTTGTCTGATGAATTACTTCTCCCAGTCTGTTGTCTTTCTAGTTTAATAACTATGTCTTTCGTTGTGCAGAAACTTATTTTGACATAGTTCCTCTTGTCAAACCTCTCTCCTAACTGGTGTGCCTCTAGGGCTTTTTTCAAGAAGTTTCTACCTATAAGTTCTAATGTTTCTCCTACTCTTGCAGTAATTCCAAAATCTCGAGTTAAAAGTTAAAAGATATGGAAAGTTTTACTCAAAACACAAGCTCCAAATGGTTTTGTGTAACTATACACTTTAAATCTATCAATATTTCAAGGTTGATGGCCTCACAGACTTTGATTATTAGGACTGGTGCCATGTTAGATCAGCTTGTGTATGGTATTAGTGAACCAGACTTTAACTCTGGTGCTTCTTAGAGGAGCTAAACTGAACCAACACAGCCAGTAAAAGTCTCAAGCTGCTAGCCACTTTAGAAAGACCTTGATGTATGTAATTTTACGATACAGTCACCTAACCCGATTCCAAGGTGGCTTCATGGTTGATTCTGCAGATGCCTAAGTCAAGCTGTTTTAAGATGTTACTTACTGCCTAAAATGTTTCTCAGCTAGCATAGGAACAAACTTTATAGGTAGTACAAGTACCTGTACTTTTGAGTTCAGTGATAGAGCCATGAATGACAGATATTTGAGCAATGGAGGCCATGCCTTAGATTCCTATGCACGTCTCAGTGTACAGTACTGTGGTGTACATGTTATCAGAATATTAACTCAGTGCACGGTTACTCAACAAGACTTATTTAGGCATTCCATTTGGGGTTTTTTGTATACACAAGCCAATTATAAAGAAATTCTAGGCTTATTCTTAGACTTTAAAATTTTAATAAATAAAAAGTTCTTGTCATTATGAATCATAATTCAAGCAATTGGTTACATTAAGGTTAGAAGATGTGACTACTCCATATATATACATACATATATATATACATACATATATAAAGTAGATAAGGGAGTTAAAGGTTTATAGGAAAATATGGGAAGGAATTTCTACAGCTAGAGCTGAAAATGAGAAGTCTATTATTTTTTGTATAGATTATAGCTATAAATACTTTGTGAGGAAATATGAGGGAGCAGGTTAAGTGATAAGCAAAACTCTTCCAGAAACAATAAACCATGATCTCAGATTTTTGAAAAAATTGAGTTTTTTTTATTCATTTACCTCATTTGATCAACTGCAATTTTATCACTCTGAATTATAACTGAACTCCAAGCTACTCAGTTTTCTTAAAATGAAAGGAAAAATTTATGATTTCTTGAATCAGAAATCAGAAACTAAAAGGTCCCATTCTAGATTTATATACTTTTCTTATAAAAATAACTTTAATTATGTGTCAACATTTATCTGAAAAAGGCAGTCTTTGACAGCAAACCAATAACTGGAATAATTAACAGTATCATTTTCAGCAACATTAAAATGAATCTAAAATATTTTTCTTACTTGAATAATCAATAGATTGCACAGGATTGATAAACCATACAATTCAATGTAAATAAATGATTCAAATAAAAGAGAAAACTCAGAAGACAATTATGTAAGTAACAGAAAGGAAATCAACCATCACTACAAAAAGAAAAGAACACATATTTTTAACACACTTAACAGAAGAGGGATACTACTCAATGCTAACTTAACTGCTTTAAAGGCTTTCCCTGGATGATATAGTAGTCTATAGAAATTTTACACTTACTGTTAAAAAAAATTCTTGAAAAATTAAGGTCATCTCTTCAACTTTTAAAAGAAAATGAATGTCAGGCACTGGTGGCTCATGCCTGTAGGCCTACTTACTCAGGAAGCTGAGATCTGAGGATTGTGGTTCAAAGGTTGCCAGGGTAGACAAACTGGAGACCCCAGCCAAAAGCTGGAAGTGGAACTGTGGCTCAAATGCTCAAGTGGTAGAGCACCAGTCTTGAGCAAAAAGCTAAGTGATAATGCCCAAGCCTCAGTACTGCAAACATACACACACACAATACACACATACACCAACAATAATAATGAAGAATCTCTTTACTATGTTATAGTATGAAAACAGAGTTTTGCCATATTGTGAGTGTATTTCAATAAGGTAGAGGGTCAAAGATAGAATTCTTATGCCAATAGGTGGCTGAACCAGGTCAGTCACAAAACTAGAAGTTAAAAAAAAAAAAAAAGAACAGCAGAACAGACCACATTTTTTTTGTAGGGCTAGACACACAGACACTCATTCCAGGGCTCAGCAATGTAGGCTCATCTACTGAATCTGGCCTGTGGAACACTTTTGATGGCCCTGAGCTAAGAATGCTTGTAATGATTTTATTAACATTAAAAACAACTAAAGCCTAAAATATTTGAGATCTTGTCTTCACACAATACATTTGCTGATTCTTCATTTATACCAATATTGTATGGAGTAGTTTGAACAGTGCAATTACAATCCAAAATATGTTCATTTATTCTCACCACAAATGTACATAGCATTCTCAAAAGGTATCTTTTCTGATGTTACTGTTTGGACTTTTTTCTTTCCAATTTTTAATTCTTCAATGCCATCAAAGTTCATCCTATATTTGTAATATAAAGGTAATTGAAAGAAAAAAAGAAAGATGACTTGACATTGATTAAAAATGGAATAAAACATAAACTACACAATGTTTCATCATTTCAAAATACTCAATATTCTTATTTAATGGACTAGGACATAAAACACACCTTGGCTCATTGTAACAATGGGAAAGAATGAAAAAACTCTGCCCACAGAAGATACTATGAATTATAGGTTTACATGTTTTCTAAATCACATTTGCACATACTTAATGATATTCTGGGCTATGCCTATTTAAAAATTATATATATATGTCTATATATTTGTGGTCATGAGGCTTGAAGTCAGGGCCAGGGCATTGTCTCTGAGCTTTATTTGCTCAAGGCTAGCACTCTACTACTCTGAGCCACAGCCCCACATCTGGTTTTCTGATGGTTAATTGGAGATAAGAGTCTCATGGACTTTCCTGCCCAGGCTGGCTTTTGAACCATGATCTCAGATCTCAGCCTCCTGAGTAGCCAGGATTACAGGCATGAGCCATGGTGGGCACCTGGTTAATTTCAAATATATATCTATATATCTATCTATAAATATATGTATACTATATATACACAAATAAATACATATACATATGTATTTATTTTGCCAGTTGTGGGGCTTGAATTCAGGATCTAGGTGCTGTCCCTGAGTTATTTTTTCTCAAGATTAGTGCTCTACCCCTTTTGAGCCACAGCACCAGAATCTCACAGATGTTCCTGCCCAGGGTGGCTTTGAACTGCAATCTTCAGATCTCATCCTCCTAAGTAGCTAGGATTACAGGTGTGAACCACCAGCAATCAGCTCAAATATTTATCTTGAGAGAAATATCACATATTTAATACTAGAAAAACATGTTTGTTTAGTAAATCAAGAAATACAACTCATAATATTTCTTTGTAGGGCTTTCTCTATTGGGTCTGCAGTTCTGAACTGGATTATAGCAGAACTTGTATTCTAAAGTGATTCTATCAAGTCAGATTTCTCCAGCCAACTCCCCATAGGTTGTCATGTTCTTTTCTTCCTTTGCCTTAGCAGGAAAGAAGCCAAGATTCCATCAAATTCCATTCAATAAGCACTCTAACTTTCATGGACTCTTTTTTTTTTTTGGGTCCGGTCATGGGGCCTGCACTCTGAGTCCTGGCACTGCCCCTCAGCTCTTCAGCTCAAGGCTAGCGCTCTACCACTTGAGCCACAGCGCCACTTCTAGCTTTTCCTTTTTGCTTATGTGGTAACTGAGGAATTGAACCCAGGGTCTCATGCATGCAAGGCTAGCGCTCTACCACTGAGCCACCTTCCCAGCCCTCATGGACTCTTTTGACTTTTTTGTTGGTCGTGGGGCTTGAACTCTGGGCTTCTGCTCAAGGCGAGCGCTCTACTGCTTGAGCCACAGCGCCACTTCTGGTTTTCTAGTGGTTTGCTGGAGATAAGAGTCTCATGGACTTTCCTGCCTGGACAGGCTTTGAACCGTGATCCTCAGATCTCGGCCTCCTTAGTAGCTAGGATTACAGGCGTGAGCCACCAGTGCCCAGCTTCTTTTGACTATTTTTAAGCATGTCCTAGAGTGACACTGATTTAATAGAGAAAAAAAAAAGAATTGCTTGTTGAAGAGTAACAAGAGGCTGAATTATTGCTTAATAGATGTAAAATTTCAAGGAGGCTCCAAATGATTATGGATTTAATTATGGGTTCTGACTATATCAAGAACAAAAGAAAGATTTTGACTGCACAGGCTTAAGTTCTAGAATAGCTATTTGTATTAATTCAATGTTCTATATACATCTGAACATTTTAATAGTTAATGGCCATAAATCACCACTTTAAATAGCTTTATTATACATTTCACATGCTACAAAAAATCTCCATAATTAGATAGTGGGGTTTGGTAGAGTTGTATAGCTATCATCAAAACTTTTTCTCCCCCATGTTCCAAAGAATTCTTTTTTTTCCTAACAGCAAAACATTCATATTTCTCCTCTTTTCCACCTTACCCAAGGGAACCACTCTAAATTTTCTGTCTCTATGGATTAGTCTATTCAGAATATTTCACACACAAATAAACCCTCAAATATGTGGCAATTTGTGAGTGGCTTCATTTACTCAGAGTAAGTTTCCAAGGCTCATCACGACCTAGCATATTCATCCTCTTTGGGGGGCTGGAAAATATGCCAGTGTATAGCTGTATCACATTTTGTTTATTCATCTAGTGATTGGAGGACATTGCGTTTTGACTTTTTGCTATTAAATTATACCATTATGGACATTTGTATATCAGGTTTTTTTTTTTTTTTTT